CCCCCCCCCTCCCCCTTTCCTCCTCCCCACTGGCTACTGTGCATGGAAGCGGCATTCCGCACGAGCACCAAGCTCATCAGATTCGCTGGCCCCCATCGCAGACAGTGAACCCACACGTGCTCTCACGCCCATTTACACACACACAAAGGCACACCGGAGCGCACGCGCAGCGGCACATCCCCCCGGCTCCAAGGAAGAAGAGAGAGATCCGGAAATGCTTTCGGCCCTGTCGCGGCTATCCGCCCCGGGATTGGCTCCCATGGCGGCCCTCCGGCCGGTCGCCCTCGCCATTGCCCCTCGCGCGGCCTACTCCAAGTCATCCAAGGACCCGTCCCCCAAGACGCCGGTGGATGTCGTGTATGAAGGCCAAGCACCGCTGCGCCTGCGGCGATCCCACATTATCCACAAGGACTTTCGCATCTTGGACGACAAGACAATGCGGCGCATCATCAAGACCCAAAACCTCGAGCCAGAGCCACTGCAAAACGACTCCTTCTTCTTTACGGAGATGGACCAGAAGGAAGTCCTCATCCCCGAGCGTGTTCCCAGCCTGAGTATCCATCGCTCTTCATCCATCTATCCGGCCCTGGATGCGTTGTTGAACAACCGGCTGGTCGATGAAAAACGCCGCCGCAAAGCCCAAGAGTCCAAGAAGTTGGCCAAATCAAATTCCTCCCACCGCCGCCGGGGCAATAGCAACGACGGGAACACCACCTCCGAGGCATTCATTCCCCTGGAGCCGGGTGTCTACACCCAGGGCGAGTATTCCAGCATGGGTGGCACCGGGCTTGGATTTGGATCCAAGGCCCTGGAGAATGGCGACTTCGAGTCCTGGCGCGAACGGCGCTTCATCACCCAGCGCACCGCGGATCGGGCTCGGCAAATTGCCACGAAGCAGGTTCTGGCCAAGTACGGCTTGACTGAGGCCGCCCTGGAACTGCCAGCCGGCGCCGGCCCGGCTGCTGCGGTCCATGTGAACAAACTCCAGCGTGAGATCGCGGCCGTGGCCCGGCCCATGTACACGTGGAATCCCAAGCGCAAGCTCTCTCGGTCGGACATGTACTCTCTTCGGGCCCTGCACAACCAGGTACGTGTGCCATTGCTGCCTGCCAATCAGTAGCTACCTCGGCCTTGCGGCCGCCTGTTCGCCCACATTCACCGGGGGCTGGGGGGGGGGGGGGATCCGTGAATACGAATGTGCCTGCGTGGATGGGCTCTTTCTCACACTGTGCCTTCTTCCTCCATCCGTGCTGCTCAGGATCCCGGGCAGTACAATGTCATGAACCTCTCTCTGATCTATGGGATCAGTGTCGAGGCCGTCCGGCGAATTCTTCGAAGCCGCTTCGAACGTCGGGTCGACTTGAATCGCTACCACAACACCATTGTCCGGGAGAATGTGGACGAAGATCGCTTGGATGCGCATCTTGCCGAAGAGAACCGCCACCTGCTGGCGGCCAACGAACTGTCCCGTCGTTTGGAGATGGATCCGAGATTTAGCCATGCCGACCAGCCGTCCGACGACGAGCAGGAGGGCACGCCTGAGCAGGTGGTCAGCGTACTACATGACCTGCGGAGCTCGCTGACTGATTTGGAGCACACCCACCGGCTGTCCTACACCTCGCCGACGATTCGCTCGATTCAGACCTCGCCCGGGGAGTTCATCGCCTTCCCGAAGGATTATCATCCGGACCAGTATCCCGAGCGGCGCTTTGGCTGTGTGGTTGGCCCGGCCAACTTGACGCCCCCGCGCCCGGGTATCGAGGATTCCGGCCTGTCCTCGGAGTCACGGGCCCTGCCACATCCGCTGCTCCGTGCCAACCGGCGCCGGAGTCAGCTTTACAGCAAACAGGGCGAGGCCCTGCCAATGGCACAGTGGCCGATTGGCGTGCGCGTCCCCCGGCGTCGGCCTGGTGTCGATGCGCCTGCCCCGGAGGACGGCCAGCCGGCGGCCCCGAAGAACGCCCAGCCGGCGGCCCCGTTGGAGACCAGCCACGCCAGCTGGAGGCAGTCTGAGACCGGCCGCCAGTCGCGACCCAAGCAGCGCCACCGCCCATCCTCCCACTACCGCCCCCGTGGCAATGCCAAGACCCCGGATCGCAAGTAATGTCATCCTCCTCCCGCATGCGATTTCCTTTCTCCTTTCCCCTCTTCATAGACTCTCCGGCGACGCATGATGCTGCGCGAAACAATGATACAAAAGTTGATTGCCACTTGGCACATGCCTTTGTCACACTTTCCGGAGGGGGGGGGGGGAGGGATACACAGGCATGGGCGTGGTTTGTTGCGTGCCAGGCACCGGCCATGAAGGAAAACATCCAACGAGGGGAGAAGACCGGGGGGGGGGGGGGAAACAGGCCAGGGGGGACCTACACAGGGGCAAACTCACTCCTGGGCAATGAAGGCCTCCAGCCCGGTAAGGTCCAACGAAGCACACACGCTCGGATCTGACCGGAGGAAAGTCAAGAAGGCCTGGGTGATGGCGCGCACACCGCCGACACGGCTGTTGCTCTGAACATTCAGCGGCATGACCGGGTCGTGGAGGGACATGCGGATGAGGAACCAACCGGTGGACTCATCCTCCGGGAAGCGGACCGCCACACGGACACCCTCATGGTTGGGGGTGACGCGCGACCAGCCCAGCTCCGCGGCACGGGACGGGCTGTCCAGGACAGCATTCAAATGCGCCAAGACCCCGGCGCCGACGGTCTTGAAGTCCTCGGCGGCAATCTTCAAGCGGAACTCCTCCTCCTCGACAGGCTCCTGAAGGCTATGGCGGCGGGAGGAGGAGGGTGAGAAGGTGAGAAACCCGGCAAAGGGGGGGGGGGGGGGGACAAAAAATGCAAGGAGGCACATACTCAGACAGCAGCGAGGTGATGGACTCCAGGCCATTTACCGCCAGCTCGATGAGGATCTTTACCACCAGGTAGGCACCGTCATCAAGATAGTGGTTCTCCTGCAGGGCGCCATGGCCGCTGGTCTCAATGGCGAAGGGCGAGCCGCGCTTCTGTGCCTCGTTGATGACATTGCGGTAGCCGCGCTTGAACCGGTGGTGACGGCCGCCCTTGGCAGCAATGAATGAGGCCAGCCCATCGGACGTCACCGAGTCGGTGACAATCTCCACACCGGGGGTCTCGCGCAGGACAATGGCTAAGACGACCAACAGGGAGCGGGGCGGGAGGGAGGCGAGGGGGAGGGGGGGGAGGCAACGGGTGAGGATGCGCAAAGGGGGGAGATGCACAAGGGGGGAGCACAAGGAATCGTACCCGACAGCAGGGCAATCAGGCGATCGCGGTTGATCTCGCGTCCGGACGCGTCGACGATTCCGGCGCGATCGACATCCGTGTCGAAGACAATGCACATATCGGCCCGGGCCGCCAGCAGAGCATCGCGAGCCATGGCCATGGCCTGCTTATCCTCCGGGTTGGGGGGATGGTTGGGGAAGGTGCCATCTACGTCGGGAGGAGGGAGGTGAGTATGGGCCAAGAGGGCGGCTGGTGGGTGGAGAAAAGGCCGCACCGGAGTCCAGGAACTGGCTGCCATCCGTCTTGGCACCGAGCGGCTTGAGAACCTTGTCAACAAAGAAGCCGCCGGCGCCATTGCCGGCATCGACAATCAGGTGCAGGCCCTCGAGGGCATTCCTGTGCGAGAGTGTGGGGGGAGGGGGAGAGAGAGAGAGAGAGAGAGAGGGAAGGGGGAGAAAGGGGGAAAGGGGGATCGGAGGAGGGTTAAACTGATGTCGGGCGCCCAAGCGTGTGAGGCAGACACAGGGAGACGCACTGCTTGCCGGTAGCCGAGCGGATCTTCTCAACCAGGATCCCAGCGTAAACGCTCATGAAGTCCACCGTGTCGATATTGGCCTTGGGATACTGTTTTAAGAAATGCCCGGGGTGGACCAGGGAACGAGAAGAGGAGGGAGGAGATGAGAGGTGTTAGCAGCTGGAGAGTGTGTGTGTGAGAGAGAGAGAGAGGCAGAGAGAAAACACTCGCCATGGAGCGCCATGCCTCGGGGCAAGGGGAAAGCCACGCGGATGTGCATATATATACATATGTGTACCTCGGCGTCCTGCTCGGCCAGGAAGGCCGCGCGAGCGATGATCCACTTGATGTCGGCGCTCTCGAGGCCGCCATCCTTGGTGAAGAACTTCAGGCCATTCCGCTCGGAGGGCAGGTGGCTGGCCGTGAGCATGATGGCGCCGGTGTACTTGTGACCCTCGGTGATGGTGCTCATGAACTGGACGTGCGGACGCGCGGTCATGGTGGTCAGCGAGGGCCGGAGGAAGGGGGGCCAATACGCGTGTGCAAGAGGTGGTCTGCCACCCAGGGGCGCACCATTGCCGGCGTCGAGGCCAGACCGAAGGACACGACGCGCGTGGCGCCGGCTTGCATAATACCACGGGACACATTGTCAATCATGAACTCGGCGCTCAGGCGCCCATCATGGCCCAGGGCCACCGTGACACCGCTCTCATCGGTGGCATTGCGGGCCAGGAAGTCCACGAAGGCCGCGCCGATGCGCGACACAGTCAGCTGCGTCAGGTTGGCCTTGCTGTTGTCGGTGGCCGCCGGGTCGAAGGCCACGCCACGGATGTCCGATCCGTTGGGCAGCCGCGTCCAGATGGCCGGCAGGGGCTCGGACGCGAGCTCAAACTGGCCGATGCTAATTTGGGTCTGTGTTTGGCCGGGGGGGGGGGGGGGGGGGGGGGGGGGG